ACTCCCACACCACTATTGTCGCCCTCACAACCGCCACTCACCAGCACCCCCACCCTATCCCAACCCACCACTAAACACCATGCCAATATTGTTGTCGTCATACCCATCCACTCCCAAGCCCTAACCACCCCGACCACTATCCCACCACTATCATCGTCACAACTACCACCCGGCCACCTACCCCTACCCATCCTACCGTCTCGCCCTTACTCTCGGCCCCACCCTTACCCCACTTTACCCTACTCTAATCACCATCTTACCAGTGTAGTGGTCATAGCTACCACCCTGCCACCCACTTCCCCACTCTGGCCCCCACCTACCTTCCCCCAACAATCCCCACCTATGGAGCAGGGTGTAGGGAAGGAGTGGTGGAGCGGGGTTAGGGTATTGGGGCAGGGTGTGAGTAGGGGTGGAGCGGGGTGATAGCTATGATAACGACAACAGTGACATGATGGTTGGTAGGGCGATGGGTGGAATAGTCCAAACAAAGGCGATTGTTCCAATTATAATGAGAAATTCAATTCCAATTCCTATCAACCAAATGCGTGGTCAAATTTCATTCCGATTACTTCAAAATCAAATTCCTTTGATGGATTCCACTTCTATCAAATTCCATTATGTAAACCAAACACCCCTTATTGTTAAAACAACTACTTAACGATCAACGTTAACATATCCAGATACAAAAATAGTGTTCTTAATTATGTTGGTTACATACATAAATTTATAACACTAAAGATGGCAACAAGGTTGGGGGATATCAAGGACCCCAATCCCCATCAATGCCACAAAGTGCCAAAGAAGGCGATGGCCCCATAGAATCATTACCGTGGTTTGATCCTTCAAAGTAATTCTAATCGCTTTTTTATGCGGAAAAATGAGACCACCTTCTAAGCCTAAGACTTGCTATTGCATCTTTTTCACGAATCACAAGTAGGGATCCTTACCGGTAATTAGAGAATTTTAGCGGGGTGTGTGTGTGTGTCTCTCTCTCTCTCTCTATACATATATACATATATAAAGAAATGATTATGCAAGAAGTTAATCAATTTACAAAAAACGAGAAGTTTTAACATTATATATAATTGATATCTCGACAACAATTATAAAATTGTTAGGAACGGTAAGAATACCTTGCGGCCATTGATCGTAAAGATAGTTGTTACATCGATCTGGAAAAAAACTAAATCAAACTTTGATATACTTTACATTTGATTTTAATGAGGTAAATTGCATAAAAAAGTAACGTACTTTAACTTGATTTCTATTTTGGTAACATACTTTTAAAACTTCCATTTTGGTACTTAAGATGTAAAGTTTTACACATTTAAGTACTTAGGTAACCGATTGAAACATTCAACCGGTTATCTAAGTACTTAAATGTGTAAAACTTTACATCTTACCATGTTGATGTGTCGGGTGATGTGGTATCAAACTCAGTATTATTTGTTAAAACATTTGCCAAATACCACATCACTCGCCATATCAGCATGGTAACCGGTTAATGCTTCAAACAATTATCAGGTATTTAAATGTTTAAAACATTACATCTTAAATATCAAAATAGAAGTTTTTAAAGTATGTTATTTAAAATAGAAATTAAATTAAATACATTACTTTTTCATTTAATTTGTCCTTTTTAACACTCCAATAAAAATAAAAAATAAAATAAAATAAAGTTACAACACGTTTTTTGCAAAGAAAACGTGTTGATGAAGTGGTCAACAATAAATAATATGAGGAATTGGGGGTGGATGTTCTTCCATTTTCCTTCTTCCCTGCACGTTAAACGGACTCTATCTATCTCCTTGATCCACCAACTCGCTTCAACAACTCTTCCGCTTTGTTTTTCATCGGTAATGCTTTCTATCAATTCCTCATTTTCTCTTCTTGATTGATTTTAATTGGTGATCTTGTATCGTTTTTGCTATCCACAAATTGTTATGTTGTTTTGTTTCCCTTTATCTGAATCTTTGAAGATATTGCTTCAATTCGCCCCAATTAACAGGTGAAATATGAGTATTCGTAGCGAATTTTTGATTCTCTTGTTTGTGTTTTGTTTGATGCTCAATTGGATGGTTTTCTGGAATTGGTGGAATGGATCGTTAGTTTTTATTAACATTGAATGATTTTATCCGTAATTACATCAATCGTGTTTTGTTTAAATGTGTTGGCGGAACCTAAAAATGGAAGCAATAATTAGATGTTCTGTATAGATGAATGGTCCGCTGCTCTTTGGTCGGTGGTTTTATTCATAAATTGGAACATACTTGGTTGCATGCTCTTAGCTAGAATGCTATTAGAATCATTTTTGTTGGGTTTTAGATTTACTTATTGGGTGGTATGAATGTTAATTGGTATTGAGGTTAGCGTTTGGGATTTAACTTATCTGGCTCCAATTCCTATTCCAGACCATGTAATTTGAGTTCTTAAACATATCTATTTTCACAATCTTCTGTTTGGCCAAAGTATTGAAACAAATTTGTATTTTAGATAGGTAATTGCGCGGGTTCTAGTTAGGACATTTTGTTGCTCCTGTTTCTTGAATATTAGACTCTTAGACTAGATTGAATGCTCCCTTTCTTAATGCCAGCCCGTGTATTCCAATAATGTAGCAGTTAAAGGGGATATAGGTATAGCAACAAATATTGATCCAGTGAATATCCTTCCGTTTGAATATTTATAAGTCAAAAGGGATTATAAAAACTATATTGCCTCAATCTCTTTAGATAATGGAAATAAATACATATTAGTATCCTCCCAATGAGAGGCCAAAGTAAGGTGCCTCTGCTAATCACTTATGCAATGTATGGAAGAATTCAAGTTTATAGGATTTTGCGACTGTGTTACTGTAATGCCATTTCTCTTCTGGGTTTCCTAATATCTTTTTATAATGGGTATGCATTTATACAAGTGAGACTACTTGAGAGGTCATGTTTTCCGATCAGAACATTTTCTAGATCATTTTCTTTAAGATAATATAAGCTTACATGCTAATTTTAAATGTTTTATCCCAAGAAAAAAACCCCACAAAGCATTAGGGGTTGCCTGGTGATGGACTAGAGGTCAAACTTAGTGTAAGGTCTTAAGTTCAACTATTCCTATGCATTTCAAGGCCAAAATTACCGAGTAAATATGAATTATCGTTAGCAAAGCAAGTGAAGGCAAAGACGGATTTGCCTGTGTATAAGCTTAGTCGATTGGAATGCTTGTTTGGGTTTTTTTCAACAGCTACAAGGGGGTTCTCTAATATCTTTTTCTCGCCTCTGTAACTGGTTTTGATTTATTGTCTCTGTCGCCTGTGTTCTGCAGTGGTCTCATTCATGTTTTCTCCATTTTATGACTTTAATGCATACTCTATAGTGAAACTGTCCTCATTCTTGGAACTAGTTTTTGAACAAAATTGTCTTCATCTTGGAACTACATGATCATATATAATCTGGATATGAATGTTGTAAGCTGTATCTTAGTTGAAGCCTCTTTTTGGTAAATAATATGGTGTATATCTTGTCGACTTAACTTCAATACACATAGATATATGTATGTATAAGTGACACATTGAGTGACCACAGAACCGAATAATACTAGTGGAAGAAAATGTCTGCTGTATGTCTACCTACTGAATTCTACCTCTTTATGCCCATTTTTTTCCTTCTCTGATTGCTTTGAAAAGCAGTATTTCTCTTTTGATGATCACAAAAATCCCAATACACCTATATATGTATGTATATCTATATAGAGGAGTGTTCAAATAAAAACCACTCAATTTGTACAAACCGTGAAAACCACATTCAACCAATCATAGTTTTTCATTTTGTTCATTATTTTGTAATTATGAGAGGTTGATTAACCATTTTTATTGTGGACGGTGTTAATCATGGATATTATCATCTTCATTATTTTAATTTTAGAGAAATACATGAAACAGTTTCATTAAAATTTCATTAAATATTATATGAAACAATTTTATAACCATATATGAAATAAATTCATTAAAAAAAGTATTATATGAAACAATTTCATGAAAAAATTTCATAAGATTAAATAATGAAATCGATGTATGAGGGTGGTTTGTACGGTTTGTACAAATGAGGGTGGTTTTCATTTGATCGCTCATCTCTCTCTATATATACGTGTATATATATATGGGTTATGTAACTTGTGTGATCAACAAAAAAATTAGTTTTGCTTGTGGAAGCACTATCACACACATGTTCTAGGTGGCCAATACTAGGAGCTTTTTGTGTGGGATAGAGCTTCTACAATATATAGACACGTGCATGCACACACGATATATATTTATGTATGTATATATGTATGTGTGTGTACATATATATATATATATATATGTGTATACGCATATATATATATATATATATACAACATATACATAGATATATACGTATTTGTATATGTATGTATACATATATAGATACATTTCTATGTCGCGATATGCATATACATATAGACATACATACACATATAAGCAAAAAGGAAAAATAAAAGGAAGTGGAAGAAAGTATGATTATTGTATTTGTTAGGTTGGACTGTTTTATACATGCAAAAGTTTCATTTACTTCTGGAAGTTATTTTAGTTTATCTTGTCTTGTGTTGATATAAAATGATATTGCTTATAACAACTTAATTGCTCTTACATAAACATCATGTTTTTAACGTGTTTCCATACTACGATGGCTGTCTTTTCGAAGCTATGAACACTTTACCAAACTAGAGACATTTGAAATTAAAGATGATGTTTGCATTAGCTTTTATCATCATTTCTAAAATTTAGTCTTCGTTATTTTAGTTATTTATGACAGGTGGTTGCAGTTAGCAGTTTTACTACTTGTGTTACTTAAGCGTGTTGCCATTTGATTGGAATTATTAATAGTTTCCTAAGCATAGCATGTGGCAAGTAATATGTTGATGGGAGTGTGGTATTGCAGCTTGTGTGCAGTTGGTAGTGTAAGGACCTTATGGCAGGTATGGAGGACGCCAAAGATTGCGACCAAATGGATGAGACGTCCAGGATTTCAATAGAAAAAGAGGTAAGATACTACCATCCCTTCCCTTGGTTGTGGTGTATCTCAAATTATAAGCATTGGTGGTTTCTGTTTTTCTTAGGAGGAAGTCATTAAGAAGAAGTATGGAGGTATTGTGCCGAAAAAGCCTCCACTCATTTCTAAGGTGTCCATCAATTCTCTGACTGCCTGTAAACTGTGGGCTTTAAATGAATTTTTTATATAAGATACTAAAATTTGATGTCAGGATCATGAACGGGCTTATTTTGATTCAGCTGATTGGGCTCTGGGAAAGGTACTTCCCTCTTGGCCTTCTCCATGAGGATCTGCAGTAAAAGCTATTTTATCTTTTTTAAGTATAAATTCGTAAAGAAGATGTAGGACACTGTTTAATGTTAATTGACCTAAAACATGATGCTACTGTTGACAGCAAGGTGTAGAGAAGCCCAAAGGACCTCTTGAGGCACTTCGGCCTAAACTGCAGGTATGTAATCTTGCTCTTGAACTGCTGCTATATTTCTACGTTAAAATAACATCTCTTGAACTTTTACTATATTCGTACTAAAAAAAATTCTGAATTCTTGCTTTTTCCCCATTCCTTTAGCATGTGTTCCATCTGCCCCCAGCAACAACATTGTTAATTCCCTTCCGTGTATTCTCTTACTTTACAAGTGAAACATTCTTGTAGTTTAACCTGATTGAATGGCTTTGTACCTTGATCATCCTTCTTGTTTATATAAGGTGTCTGATGGATAAATACCTTATGTATCATCACCTTTAAGACTGTTTGAGTAGTCTTTACTTATATATTTATTGAATCTCTGTTACCATCCAGCCGACTCAACAGCAAACACGATATCGGAAATCTCCTTGTGCACCAACCGACGGAGAAGGTAAGTGGTCTAAAATCTTCCTACTCCCTAGCTGCTACATATGAAAGATAATCAGTACATAAGGAATTTTTATTTTCTTAGCAAATGTGTTCATTCCCAGTTGACTCTACTTAGCATGTAAATGTTCGTTTTAGTTGACTTTGGGGCCTGAATTCATGAATTCCCCTGTTCCAAGGTAGAGTCGAACTTTAGGAAAATGTATTTCTGGCGTCTTGTTTGGGTATAAAGAATGTTCTAAAATGTGTGGCAAAACGCGTTTTCACATCCCATTAACCCTTTTGCCAAGGCGTGTTTTTTTATACACTTATTTTTAGAACTTTTTGTGTACTCCATTCTGTCTCGAAGTAAATGTTAGACAAGGCAAAAGGCACATAGTTCTAGAATTGTGTAATCACTACATTTTCCAATTGACTAAATGACAATTTTACCCTTAATGGAGGGAGTGGTTGTTTCTCCTTCTCATAATTAAAGGTAGAATAGGAAAGTAGACACTTGCTTTTTTGAAAATGGACACTTAAAATAAACATGTGGACACTTGTTTTGGGATGGAGAGCGTAATATATATATATATATATATATATATAGTTTAGTTCATTTGTTAAACAAAAAAGGTATTACCTTTATTAACTTTTTAGATCAATCACAATTCATTTTAGTATGAGGTTTAACTCTATCCAAGAAATTAATGTTAAAGGTATGTGTAATTTTCTTTTTATATAACTTCTATATCACTAATTGGAGGTTACATTATCATAAAATCCCATGATTTTTGCCTTTTTAATATTGTTCTTAATTTCCCAGATTTTTAGTGCTTTGGTTAATAGTTGAGTAACATAATTTCATTATAATATTTACAATTTTGTGATTGGTGGAGGAGACCTGGTAGTAAAGTGAACATATTTTCTATAGGTGTACAATGTTCATTGTTTGTTAACATAAGTGAACATATTTTCCATAGGTGTATAATGTTCATTGTCTGTTAACATATGAAAAGATAGAACGACCAAATGAACTTTTGTGAACATATGTGAATATCCAAGCAATGCACATGACATATGTGAACATTCAAACACACTGTTCATAAGTGAACCTATTGTTCATAATTGTTCATGAGTGAACCCATGTTCATATAGAGGGGATGCCCATGTGTATATTAATGTTCATAATGATGGAGATTTTGTTATTAATGACAAAGGTTAATATACACAGGGCGGTTATAAAAAATAAAATATACACATGGGCAGACATGCAGTTACAAAACATCCACGTCTTTATGATTTTTTTTTTCAATAATACCCTTGTTCATATATGTTCATCTTAGATGGTAACGTATTATATTACGTGTTATTACAAAATTGTCATCATAAATGTCATCCATCTATTTACAAAATGAATGGTTGTGATAAGTTCATAAAGTTAACACCATAAATTGGGTTAACAAAAGAACCTACCCCTATATATATATATATATATATATATATATATATCTAACATATTATTTTTCTTCTTTTATATATGAATTTAAATTGTTCAATATCATTGAGTAGGAGTAGTAGCAGGAGTAGTAGAAACACATATGTACATATGTCTTATACACACACTTGCCGACTTAAGCCACATCTTGAAAACGTCCAAAGTCAAAACCTAACGCCATTTAGAACCTTGGGCATGGACTTTGGTCATCTATGAATGTGTGTAGACGTTTGGATCTTCTTTTTGAACGGTTTCTGATGGATATTTATCGGTCGTCTGAATAGATGGAAGCAATAGGCCATCAACAGAGGATGCAGCAGCTATGAATGAATGAATGAATGAGGAAAGTGATGTTTCCTTTTTGTTTCTCATGAAAACAATAGCCTCCTTTGCAAAGATATTGTGATACAAGTATGCAACTTGCATTCTTTTTTTTCTTTTTTTCCTTTTTCTTCTTCTTCTGTTTAACTATTGAACTTTAATCCATGTTTGGACTTTAGCTTTTTGTTGGGATCAATTGTTCTGCTGCTTCCTTATGCTCCAAAATGGCTCTTTCAGACTTTATCACCAACTTATATTTATTTATTACCAATTTTGTCCTAAAATAATCGCCTCTATTTTAGTTTATCCTAAAATAAGCGTAAACTTTCCAATTATACCGTTATTATAAGATGGAGATATCCATTGCTCACACTCTATTTATTATGGGTAATATTGTCATTACTTAACTAAAAAGTTTAAACAGTATCTTTTGACATCCTGGACATTTATTTTGGGGTGAGTATAAACACATTTGTATCTGGACAACCTGTGTGTACATCGACTAATCCTATAAGGTCCTAAACCTGTGTGTACATCGACTAATCGCCAGTTTAGTGGGGAATCCCCTTCCCCGACCGGCGCAGGTGGGCCGTGTTCCCTAACGAGTTGAGGGTCATTTTCATGCCTAATTTGGAAGGTTGTAAGCATTTGAATACACTTTAAATAACTTTATACTTAATTGACTTGTTATTTTACATCTATTTTTTTCACTCTCTTTAATTTAAATAGGTTAAAATTACTAGTATCTAGACCATGTTATAAAACATTTGACAGACATCTTAAAAACCACTTTTTATGCATAAAATATTGTTTAGTAATGCATGTTACTTAAAACTCAAGAATATAAGTAGATTATATATAAGTACAACTTATTAAAGCTTCATATCTGAATTCGTGTAACTAACTGCAGATAAACATAATCAAATACATGATAAATATCGCATTTTAAATATAAAAAATGTAAAATATAATTAGGATAATCATTGAGTTCTAACAGAATACTTAATTATTATCTTTATAAAATGTTATATTATTAAACCAAAAATAAATTATTTCATTATTAAACTTAAACTAAATTATTATAAAAACTTCAATTAAAAAAATTATATAAAAAATAAGAACTTTTAAATAGTTGATTTGATATTAACATTGATATATTTTCTTCAAATTTTTATGAAATTTTCAAAATTATATTTTATTCAAAAATAAAATCATTATTGCTTTCTTAAGAACATATAAAATCGTATTATAACATCGACAGAGACAAAAAATAAAATAGATCATTAAAATCAAGATGTATCTTACTACATTATACAAATATCTTTTAGTCATTTAAAAAAAAAACACATCTTCATGGTGGTTCGAAATACTTAACATTTCCATGTAGATGGGCATGTGGACTAGTTACAACAGAAACAACCATTTCAAAGAAAATGGTGGTTATAATCTCAAAAACCAATTGGTGTTTGTATTTATGTATTTAAAGTGATTAAGTTGGTGTCTGATTGGTTTGAGCTTGATTTCAAAGATCAAAAGTATCTGGAGGTCCAAGATTTCGAGCTATCTGTAAAACAAGTAGTTGTCCTAAGATTAGTCGGCTCGCATAACAAGTTGAATATCCAGGTTAATAAAAAAAAAAGTGATTATTTAAAATGTCCATGAATCAAAATCATGAATAATTATTTGCAATAAAATGATTGAAATTATATTACACTTCTTCAAAATCACATATCTTTCATTAAATATTTAACGGAAAACCAAGTTTTTTTTAATCAAACTTAATGGAAAGTTGTAACTTTCCATCAAGAACCTATGGATTGAATTACTTGCGTAGATTAATCTGTCTGCATAGATTGAAATTTTTTATAGATAAAATGAACGTGTTTTTTAATTGAGAGAGACAAGTTTGAAAAAAATTGGTTTATGCATAAAACTCTCCTCTAAAAGTTTACTGAATAAGCCACTTTTTATAACATTAAGCCACTATTAAACAATAATCTATAATTGATCAAATAAAATATGAGTTCCATTAAATTTATTAAACTGCTAACAAACAGATTTGAGACGAAAGGAAGGTTGGTATCCCACCAATTTTAAGCCCTACATTTGTATGGAATTACTATTTACTAATATTAGTGATAAGCAATTTATTTATTTGTTTATTAATAATAATTAATAGTAATAAATAATAATTAATATTAATGAGGGTTATAATAAGAAAATATAAAAAAAAACTTATTAATAAGCTAGATTATGTTCATCCAAACATATACCCAAAAAAAATAAACCAACTTAAATTCTAACTCCAAAAGTTTTTACATTTTAAAAATTACAATATTATTTAATTTAATATATATTTAATAAAATATTATCCTTTGTTAGTAAAAATATAATAAAAAATATTTATCTCAGAGTAATTATTTTTATGAATTCTTCAAGTTTTAAATTTTTTAAACTTCCTCCCCTACTTTTTGCATTATAGAAAAAAAAAACTTGTCAAAAAAAAAAAAAAATCCTAAAATCAACAATATTTTTGAAGGATATGGAATTTATTTTAGAGGTCACAACTAACTGCACCACATAGGGGTATGTTCAAAAACCCGACCAACCCGATCAACCCAACTCAACCCAATCCAACGCGAAATAATTCAACCCGATGAACCCGATATCCTTTTATTTCTTGGATTTAATATGATTGTTAAATTTCTATTAATATATACATTAGACAATTACACTATCATGTATGCTCTTCATATACACATATTTTCAATTTATTCACATCTCTATATAACTAATTTATATATATGTTGAGTAACTGTGAATATATATATGTAAATTGAAAAAATTAACTGAATGCGTGATATATGTAGAAAATATAGATAAGTTGTAACAAATGGTTGATGATGAAAAAGAAATTATGAGTAGAGAAATAACATATTTAAGGTTAGAAGAATATTTTGATATACCAAAGTATCAACCCGACCAACCCGTACAGGTTGGGTTGAGTTAAGATTTTTCAAACCGCAAGCATTGGGTTGAGTTGTTCAAATATTTTCAACCCGATCAACCCAACCTATGGACACCCCTGTCACCACAAACATATATCATAATAAGAAAAAGTGTTTTACAATATTTACACAAAGTTTATAGATTATTTTGTGAAAGAAAGGTTTGAAAGTGACTTCTTAAACCATGAAATTTGAAGTGAGCATGTTGCAACAACTTGGTATCAAATCATATTCACTCATTTGTCATCATAACAAGATCCAATCCTTAAGCTTCACAGACAGACACACACACACACAGTCCTCAATGGCTGAATCAACTCCATTTCCAATTTCCTCTTCGACCACCCTCACCTTCTCAACCACCTCCACTTCCATCTCCCACCTCCGCCCCTTCCACCATCAAACCCAACCTTACTGCTACATCACCGGAAAACCCATCTCCTCCCTTCGTTGTCAGGCGGTTGCCGGAGCCGCTCCTGCTACTCCGGCCGCCGCCACCACCACCCCCATAAAGAAAAAGAACAGATACGAGATCGAAAACCTAACCACATGGCTGCTAAAGCAAGAACAAGCTGGTCATATAGACGCAGAATTGACCATCGTTCTATCGAGCATTTCATTGGCTTGTAAGCAAATTGCATCATTGTTACAGAGATCCAGTATCATCAATTTGACTGGAGCTCAGGGCACCATCAACATCCAGGGCGAAGACCAGAAGAAACTCGATGTCATCTCTAATGAGGTATGTTTGACTTTTTCCAGGTCAAAGTTGCTACTTTTGAAAATTCGAAAATATGCATAGATTTGTAGTAAATTGAACGGGTTATGTACCCCGTTTATCTGGGTTTCTTTCCAACTTTGATATCATTATCATGATGTTCCAAAAAAGCCAAGCAGTTGATATGAATTTTGATCTTGAAAAACTGTATGGTTGACTTTCTGAGGTCAAATCACCTGCTTTTGAGATTGAAAATGTACATGGATTTATAGCAAATTGAAAAAGCACCCATACTTTCCATTCATGGTATTCTTGGCAAGTTTGATATCGTTGTCATTATGTTCCAAAAAAGTGAAGCAATTCATATGAACTTTGATCTTAAAGAACTGGATGTGTTGACTTTTGAGGTCAAATGACCTACGTTTGATATCGAAAATACGCATGGATTTGTAGTATATTGAACAAGTATCGTACTTCCCATTCATGGTACAATGCCATGCTCGATATCATCTTCAGGATGCTCCCAAAAAGTATGACAATTCATATGAATTTTGTTCTGGAAAAACAGTATGTTTGACTTGACTCCATGGTCAAAGCTTACATTTTCTTTTTGAATTGGTGGTGTTTGATTTATCTTGTAGGCTTAAATTACTTTGGAGATTATCGGCTTAAATCCTATTTATTTCTTGCAAATTCTAGAAAAATATATGTATTTGGTGCAAAATCATGTAGTTGTTCTGCAACTGCTTGAGATCAAGTGGCCGGACCGGGATCATCGCATCGGAGGAGGAAGATGTGCCGGTGGCGGTGGAGGAAACCAACTCGGGGAACTACATTGTCGTGTTCGACCCTATTGACGGATCCGCCAATATCGACATTGCCTTGACCACTGGTTCGATATTTGGTATATACGCCCCCGATGAGCAATGCCTTGTTGATTACGATAACGATACTGTATGTACAACCTTCTCTAATCACTACGAAAAATATGGATCTTTTAGTACGTTCAATCGCCATTGGCCTCGAAAGTGCTGTGTAAAAGGGCTAATATTGTCTAACTTCGTCGTGGACTTGTAAGTTTTGAGACGAACTTCTATGCTTTCTATACAACGGCGTTATAATAAGTTGGTAGGACGAAGTATCTGACATGACAAAGTTGTCTGTAGAACTTTGTAAGTCGCCTAACTTTTTCTAACAAGTTATTATAACGTCAGTATATGACTCAAGATAGTTGCTCGGTTAAACTCAAACCCTATTATCTATTAGGGTGCGTTTGGTACACTGGACATGAACATGACAAAACAGGATAGAGATCCCTGTCCCATGTTTGACAAGAATTTTATGTGGAACAAAGTGGAACATGCCTGTTCCACCCCTATCCCATGGAACAAGGTGGAACATATTTATATTTTACCAATATAACCTCAAAATAAAATTTAATTCTCTTCTTAAACATCAAATATGTCTCTTTTTAACATTTTATTCATTCTTTAAATTTTATTTATTGTATTTTATTTTTCTTAAATTTTCATTTTACAGTCCTCAAAATATTATTTTTATACGGTTTCTATATTTTTATTAATTTATGTAATTTATTATATATTAATAATACAAATAATGTAGAAAATAGATAAAAATAAAAATAGAAAACTATATAAACTTTTTATTTGGTGTCATTTTAATTGTTTTGACGAAAACTTAAAATGATATATTTTGTTATAAAAATAGTTATTCTATTATAATTTAATAAATTACATAAATTAATTAAAATAAACAACTCATCAGTAAATTGGTCATTTTACTTGTTCTGTTCTGTCCTGTCCAGTTCCATCTTACCAAACGTTGAACAGTTGTTCTATCCTGTTCAGTCCAGTTCAGTCCTGTCTTGTCCTGTCCTGACACCAAACACACCCTTAGGTCACCAAAACGATAGTTACACGTCCTAAAAAACCCATTTTGTTGTAGTGAACCTTTCACGTTGCAACAATGTTGTACTTTATGGATTAACGACGATCAATTTGCTGTTCGATGATCAGCTCGACCAGTCTAAAGAAAAGTGTATCGTGAGCGTTTGCCAGCCCGGAAGCAACTTATTAGCAGCCGGATACTGCTTATATTCAAGCTCGGTGGTGTTCACCATTTCCATAGGGAACGGAGTTCACGGATTCACCCTCGATCCCGCATACGGCGAGTTCGTTCTAACACACGAGGACATCAAGATACCGAAATCGGGCAGAATTTACTCGTTTAACGAAGGGAATTTCGATCTTTGGGATACCAAGTTGCAGAACTACCTCAACCACCTCCGGAAACCTGGCGGGCCCCACGGGAAACCGTACTCGGGGCGGTACATCGGGTGTCTGGTCGGGGAGATCCACCGTATGTTACTGTACGGTGGGATCTATGGAAACCCTAAGAATGAGAAAGCAAAAAATGGGAATTTGAGGCTACTGTATGAATGTGCACCAATGAGTTATTTGGTAGAACAAGCTGGCGGGAAAGCCATTGATGGTGTGCAAAGGATTCTTGATATCCAACCTGATCAGGTAATAATGTCTAAATATCATAATAAACTGTTTTACAAGACTTAAGTTTATAGGACCAAACAATCGTGCGTACTATTTAAAAATGTTACAATAAGTTATATGACACTTTTGGACGTCTTAACAAGTTTTTTAAAACACTTTTGAAATAAAATGCCCTTTTAGCTTTTATATAACACATCTTTAGGTAAGAAAATTTTCTCAATTAATGTCATATAAAGTGTCCAAAAAACTTGTTAAAACGTTAAGAAAAAGTTATTATAACAAATTTATATACGACGTATAAGTGTTATTATAAAGTAGCCGTGACCGTTGGGCCAATGACACTTTGGTTGACAAGTGGTGTAGACGAGAAAATGTTGGTGTCGAGTTTTCGTAACAAAATGGGCATCGATTTGAGTGAAAATCGTATTATATTTGACTTGAAAAACCAAAATGTACGATGGTTATTAAACAAAAGGACTTTAACCACATTCTTAATCATGAACAGGTTCACCAACGGACTCCGATTTTCATAGGAAGCCCAGATGAAATCGATATCCTAGTGTCGTATTTGGCTTGAAATTTTCGTTCGGTTTCCAAAATGTAAGTATGATTGCAGGTTAATCGGTTAAGATTGTCATCGAGATCGAATGATTTTGGAGTTTTTCTAGCTCTCTTGATACATGTTGGTTTATTGGTTTCGACTATTGGATTCATCCACCTTCTAATTTTCAGAGGTTCCTGCTATATGTATTTGGTTATTGTTGGTTTAGAGTATACTAGTGTGGGAACCGCGTAGCATAAGTACTTTATTTAATGATCCGAAGATTGTCTTTATAAATATATGTTAGTTGTTAATAGAATCATCAACAAATAATATTTAAATAATTCAAAAATAATGTCAATTTAACCCTTTTACTGATTCAACCCTAGAGGCTAGGGGTGCTCATGGGTTGGATTGACCGGGTTGAAGACATTTGAACAACCCAACCCAATGCTTGCGGTTTGGAAAATCTTAACCCAACCCAAACCAAAGTGCAACCCAACCCAATCCAACCCGTACGGGTTGGTCGGGTTAGTCCGGTTGATCGGGTTGATATTTTGGTACATTAAAATATTATTTTAACATTGAATATGTTATTTCTCTACTTATAATTTCTTTTTCATCATCAACTATTTGATACAACTTATCCATATTTCTTACGTATATTACATTCAGTTAATTTTCTCAATTTACATATACATGTTCACAGTTATTGAATGAGTTATATATAGATATGAATAGATTGAAAATATGTGTATATGAAAAGCATATATGATAGTGTAATTGTCTAATGTATATATTAATATAAATTCAACAATCATATTAAATCCAAAAAATAAAAAGATATCGGGTTCATTGGGTTGGGTTGGGTTGGGTTCAAATAATAGTAACTCAATATCAACCAAATACCTACGGTTTGACAATTTTACAACTCGATTAGACATCGGGTTGCTTCGGGTTGAGTTATTTCGCGTTGGGATGGTTTTGGGTTGATCGGGTTTTTGAGCACCCCTCCTAGAGGCTATGGAAATTTAAAGGGTTTGATAAAACCGGGCCTTACCGAGCATCCTTCTTGATTGAACCAGTTTCGAATTTGAGAAAGAATCTTCAGGCGAGAGGGTCGGATCTTATAATCCAGGAAGTTGGGGCAGAGGTTGTGTATGCACGTAGATAAGTGTCTTATGATAAGGTTAAGGGTGAAAAGAAGATCGACAAAAAAATTGAAAGATGGAGCGGAGGTGTAGTACTTCTGGTGAAGCACTTTGTACCGCTCTGATGATTTGCCATTCAAATTATAAGAAATACCCGCCATAACTGGTGGGTTCAAGAAGAAAATGCAAGACTTAAAAATCAGACGACCATAAAACAAATTTATACACGATAAAAACCATTAATTTTTTCGTTACTTATTTTAAATCCAATATTAAATAAATAAATAAAACTTTAAACAAATTCTAAACAACAATAAAAATAATGAACCCATATCATGTAATAAAAATAATTTAGTCAAAAGCAAAGAAATATACATACTAAACTCACATTCTATTGATTTATAAAGAAATAAATGCATAAATATGATTTTAAATGTTTTCTTTTAAATAACAAACAGTCACATGAGATATAATAGTCTTTATCTTATTTAATATTTTAAAAACTCAAAATAATGAGAAAATTCCTTTAGACAAATCATACTCTAAGAACGTGCCACATCATTCTTTGTAGGCTTTGCTTAAGCCTTAAACCCTAAACCCTAAATTCTAAAACATAATATTTAATTTGCTTTTGGATCCATGTTATCTTCTATAATTGAATTATTGTAATTTAGTTTGCTTTTAACGTAATATTTATTAATTAAAAATCGTCATTTTAATTAAACGATGTTTCATTAAATAATATACTCAACTTTGTTTTGTCAAATATATATTATTGTCTTACCAATATAGGAAAACTAAACAACATTATAATTCAAGACTTTAAAAATACTTAAATTTTATAATGCCACTTCAAATCCGATTGTTGTTCCTTCATAATAAAAAAACTATCACTCCAAAATTAGAGGCCAAACAATGGCTTACATAGTTATATTTGAACTCAATGATTATTCTAATTAATTTATATTTTTTATATGTAAAATAAGATGTTTATTTTGTATTTAATTATGTTTATCTACAGTTAATTACATAAATTCAAACATAAAGTTTTAATAAGTTGTACTTATACACAATCTACTTGTAATCTTGAATTTTAGGTAATGTACATCAGTAAATGGTACTTTATACATAAAAAATGGGTTTTTAAGAATTTTTATCAAATATTTTATAATATAGTATAGATACGATGAAACATGTAATCTAATTTTTTTATAATGGGCTACGTTAAACACACCCCTGATAAATGTATTTCTATTTACTAATTGTTTGAAAGCATCACATGTTTATTTTATATATATACTTCTCATACTCTATCAATGTATCATTTGCTTATCAATGTGAGATTTCCAAAAACCAAACACAATGTAAAGATTTTAAAATACATCACTCTCAAGATGTCATCTCAATATTTTTAAAGTCATCTTTTTATATGAGATAAACAAAATTAACCGTATTTCAAGATTTAAGAAATATTCAAATCTCATAATGACAATTGCAAATGAAAGATTGACTCATTTGAGCCAACATCATGACTTGCAACAAAAATATCACCTCCTCTTTTCATATATATGCACATTTCATTCCTTCTATTTTCTTTCTTTCCATCAATGTGGGATAAATAAATTTAACCACATTTCAAGATTTGAAGAATATTTAAATCTCATAATGCCAAAGTCATTTAATATATATATATATATATATATATATATATATATATATATAGGGGCCTATTCAAGGGAGAACTGAATTGTTTGTGGTAACTATGAGAACCAATATTAACCACAAATCAATAGATAAATTAGGAAATTTATAAATTTGGTAATTTTAAATTAAAATCTTAATGCAAGGATATTTTTGGTATTTTAAAACTCTCCTCTCTCCTCTCTTCTCTCTCCGGCCACCGTTCTCCGGCCTTCGGCCACCGTCCTCCGGTGATACCACTATGATACCACTGTGATACCTAAAAATATTGACTCTGTTAAACAAAAGATACGTTGTGATACCTACACTACTAAAAAAAAGGGCATCACCGACGGATTTTTCTGGCGGAAATTCCGTCGGAAATATTTCCGACGGATTTCCGACGAATCCCAAAAAAGTCAAACAAAGTCAACGTTTATCCATATCCGCCACAGATCCCCCACTAAATTTTTTGGAAAAAAAAATTAAAATTAGTTAAAACCGATTTCTAACGGATTTCTTATTTATTTGAAACCGTCACAAATCCGTCAGAAATCCGTCGCAAAATTTGTCTAATTTATTTAAATAAATTAATTAGTGTTAATCCAAAATAATTTCCGACGGAATTTAATTTTTAATAACAACAAATCAAATTATGTCGGAACTCCGTCGGAAATTTGAAACCTTTTTATAAAAATATATAAATATATATTGTTAGAAAAAATTAAAAAATCATTTTCGACGGAATTTAGTTTTTATTTAAAAAAACTAAATTCCGATTAATTCTTAACAAATAAGTATCACTACTAGAAAACTGGGCATTTCCGGCGGACATATTCCGCCAGAAATTTTCCGGCGGCATTTTAAAAAGTCAACTTTTGTTGACTTCCGCCGGAAATCCGCCGAAAAATTTAAACCGGTTAGATTTCCGGCGGATTTCCGGCGGATTTATTAATTAAGGGTTAATTAATCTTTAAAAATTAATTAATATTTGAAAAAAAAGGGAAAAGATATTACCGGCGGAATTATCCGCATCCGCCGGAAAAGTTTAATAATTCAAAAAAAAAAAAATCCGCCGGAAATCCGCCGGAAATATTTTTAGGAAAAAAAATTAAAAATCTTTTAAATATTTCCGGCGGACTTATTCCGCCGGAAATTTAAAAAAAAATTCAAAAAAATTTAAAAAATAAATCCGTCAGAAATCCGCCGGAAATAGTTTTAGAAAAATAATTTTATAAAATAAAAAAAAACCTTTTAGAAAAATAAATTTTAAAAAAAATTTAAAAACAAATCCGCCGGAAATATTTTTAGAATTTTTTTTTTAAAAATGTAAAAAAATAAAAAAAATTAAAAAAATAAAAACGCCAGAAATCTGCCGGAAATAGTTTTAGAAAAATAATTTTTAAAAAATTAAAAAAACCTTTTAAAAATATAAATTTTAAAAAAAAATTAAAAATAAATCCGTCGGAAATATTTTTAGAAAAAAAAATTAAAAATCTTTTAAATATTTTCGGCGGACTTATTCCGCCGGAAATTTAAAAAAAATTCAATAAATTTTTAAAAATAAATCCGCCGGAAATAGTTTTAGAAAAAATAATTTTTATAAAATAAAAAAAACCTTTTAGAAAAATAAATTAAAAAAAATTTAAAAACAAATCCGCCGGAAATATTTTTAGAATTTTTTTTTTAAAATGTAAAAAAATTAAAAAAATAAATCCGGCAGAAATATTTTTAGAAAAATAATTTTTATAAAATAAAAAAACCTTTTAGAAAATAAAATTTTAAAAAAAATTTAAAAAATTTAAAATCTTTTAATAAACCGTATTGGGCTCTAATGAACCGTATTGGG